TGGGGGTCGAGCAGACCATTTGGGAGGTGGGTTCGATCAGTGCCAAACTACCTTCGAAGAGGACAGGGGACAGCGCGCAACTGTGAGATATGGAGATCGCCCTCGCAGACCTGGAGGAGATCGTGCGAGCTGCTGGAGGCGGCGAGCTGGTCGAGTCCTTGCCAAGGGCGCTCCACGGCAGTCTCGCCGAGATGGCGGCGGAGAAGGCTCGCACTGCAGAGCCTGAAGGGAGCGAACCAGACGCAGCTGCAGCCCCGCCAGACAACCCCGAGGCCACCAAACCGCTCGAGGCCGTCAAGGCTTTCATCCTGGCGGCAGGCCACAAGGTCCCTGAAGCTGAAGACGACGCGCGACTGCTGGCCAAGCAGATCAGGCAAGCTACCATTGTCTTTTCTCCGTACTAGGGGTTGGCGGAACTCGCGTGTGGGTTTTTATTGTTCCAGATGATGACGGTGGTGTCGTCTGCAAGTGGCGTTTCGGGAGAGGAGTAGGTGTCGCGCGCTGATGCGGCTCCGCTTCTCCCGGAACGATGCTGGATGAGAGCGAGGTTGACCCGTTCGCACTCCTGGTCTGACGGGGGGGGGCGGAGGACGAACTAGGAGCGGATCTTGGTCCGGGCCGCGATCCAGTCTGGACCCCCCCAGATGGCCGGGGATGTGTATCCCCTGGGCTGGGGGCAGCGGCAGGTCGGACGGCTCCGACGGTTACCTTCCCAGATGGCCAGGGGCGCTCTTCCCTTGGGCTGGGGGCAGCTGCGAGTCGGATGGCGACGTCGGCCGCTTCCCCACATGGCCAGGGATGTGCCCCCCCTGGGCTGGTGACAACGGCGCGTCGGAGGGCGACTGTGGCTGCTTCCCCAGATGGCCAGGGATGCTTCTCCCCCGGGCTGAGGACATCGGCAAGTCTGATGGCGGCGTCGGCTACCTCCCAAGATGGCCAGGGACGTGCTTCCCCTGGGCTGGGGGCATCGGCAGGTCGGAGTGCGTCCTCGTGTGGCGTTAGAGCGCAAAGCCCTAGTGTGCCATCGCGGCTACTAGGCTCCGTCGCCACGGGCGTTACGGCGCAAAGACCTGGTGTGCCATCGCGGCTGCCAGGCAATGTTTTGCCGCGTGGGACAGGGTGTCCAGTTGCTGCTCAAGCGCTCGGCGAGGCAGCGGAACGTGCCGCGGGCCCCAGTTCGGGGGCTGCTGTCGGCACGAGGAGCGGGATTCGCGCCGCTGCCTGCGCGGCAGCGTGGGCGGGATCCGTATGCCACGGGGGGTGGCATGGGAGGGGCTCGGCGAGCACCCTGAGGCCCCCCCCCCCAGGCGCTGCCGCCGACTGCCACGAGGGGTGGCGTGCAGGCCAGGGGGGGGCAGGGGGGCAGCTCTCCGGGCACCCTAAGGCCCCCCCAGGGAAGGCACAGCTGCACGACCGTTCCACGTGCGCTTCACCAGGTGCCGCCGCCTGCGACAAGAGGAGCTTCCGACGGCGTGAGGCGCGCCAGACTGGCAAGTGCAAGGGGTGCTTCGCCACGGTCAACTCCACCTCCTACGGGCCCTTGTGCGACTACATGGGCGGCATGCCTGAGCGCGCCACTGTTGCGGTGCAAGAGCACCGCGCCACGGTGGGCCAGCTGGACAGAGTGCAACCCAGGCCCCGCGACGTCGGCTATCATGGCATCTGGGCGCCTGCGATCCCCACCTGCAATGGATCAGGCACGCCCGCGGGGGTAGCAGTTCTTGCTAAGAACCAGATTTCGCCCGCGAGGCCGCCAGCCACGGCGTCGCCAGTGCTCCAAGCAGGAAGGCTGGTGGCCGCTCACGCGTATTGGGGGGTGAAGAGAGGCATCGCGTTCATCTCGGTATACCTTCGGCCCGGTGAGGGTCATGGCGCGGCGAGCGATGAGGCGCTGAGTACATTGCTGCAGTATGCTAACGTGCTCAGCTGCCTGTGCTGGGCTTGGCTTGTGTTGGGAGATTTCAGCGCGACGGGCGACGAGCTGGGCTGCAACTGGATCCATGCGCTGGGTGGCGTCGCGATGGCGACCACTGCCACCGCGCGCCGCCGGGGGGAGAAGGGGTCGGTGATCGATCATGGTCTGATGGCTGCCAATTTGGTCACCAAGGCCAGGCAACCCGCAGTGGATGAGGCTGCATTTACTTCGCCACACAGGCCAGTGCTCTATCAGTTGCAGGTGCTGGGCGTTCCCATGTGGCGCGGGGGACCTGATGGGCCAGCTCCGACCGAAGCGATCCCGCCCGTCGGTTGCGCTAGACCCCCCCCAGGGACTGGGCAGAGAGCGATGCGCCTTATCGACTCTGCTTCGACTCAGACGGGCCGCCAGGTAGCATGGGATGCGGCGCTGGTGGAGGTGGAGAATGAGCTGCTCGACCGATGGGGCGTGACTGGCAGAGATCGGGCGAAGCGTAGTGGTCGTGGAGGAGCTAGCTGTGCCAAGCGGGTGGCTCGCAAGCGGAAGCCACGGTGCATGGGGCCACAGCAGAGCAAGCAGGCGCGTGCGCGGGGCGCGGCGGCTAAGTGGGCTGAGCACCCAGGCTCCACGCATT